CCTGAGCTCGGAGCTGTGCTGTGAAGGGCTGCAGAGTCTTGCGCAATCCCAGGGTGCTCCCCGACAAGTCAGCGAAAAAGGTCAACATTGAGTTTTCAAAAGTGTATGGGGTTTTCCCCCTGAGCGCCGCCAGAACCACTGCTTTATCTTGCCTGGCCTGGAAGCGCACGATCAGGTCTCGTGGGGCCGAGGTAGGTGCCCTGGCAGGTTTTGGAATTCGAAACAGTTCCTCCATCACCACTGTTTTAGCTTGTTTGGGTGGGAGTATTGCCGTTAGGAGCAGTCATGCGAAGTGTAGTAGTTCTGCCTCGGGGATCGCTTCATCTAGCTCCCTGATCTTGAGGTTTTTGCTGCATCTGGAGTCCTCCATTGCAGCGATCCTCTGTTCTGTAGCGGTGTGCTGGCGGTGGAGAGTGTGGATCTCTGTCTGCAAATGGAGGATTGTGCTTTAGAGTCATGAGAGTCCTTTTCCAGGGTTCCCATGCGGCCAGTCAGGCCTTGTAGATCTTTGCGGAGTGCAGCCATGTTCCCCTGGAGGTCCCTCCGTAGGCCAGCCAGCAGCTCCTGCATATCGGCTTTGGTCACCGGTGTGGCGTCTGGTTTGGAAGCTGTGTGCTTTGGGTTCGGGTTCCGCTCACGCTGGGCGGGTAAGTGGAGCTCCTCAGGCTCCATGGTGGAGTCGTCTGAGAAATCAGAGCTCTCACCGAGGTAGTCGGCCATTTGGGTATTGGAGCACCATGTGCCTGCCTCCATAGGTCCCCGATGCTGGTGGCCGGTTTCGGTCTGTCCGGTATGGCTATTTTGAATCTCTTGGACTTCATTACCTGCCAGTGCCTCCTCAATCCCTGCTTTGTAAGTAAATCCTTACCGACCAATTCATATTACCCCCTTCCAACACTATGAGTCGAACCACAATTCCACTCAGGCGTCTCACAAATCTAGATATAGTCATATTAAGCTTACGCTTGCTATGCTCCAAGCCCTTGGTGTAAGATACCTGTTGCCAATAAGGCAAAGGTTACATCTTGGACCAAATAATTGTACACTCTGAAAACAACATATGGCAACAAACCAAATCTTGTTTTATGGGGTAAATTAAATCTATAGTCCTAACCCTTCCCAAATAATTTACCCCTGCATGAATATTTAACGTGAATGCCCCTGACACAAAGCCCTGTTTTCTTCCCATTGGCCCAAAGGCACTTCGTTAGTGGGTTGAGTGGGAGGGAGTGAGAGGCAGGGAGGAGGGATCTAGGAGGAAGATTGCTCCTCCTGTGAGCATACTGTGGGGAGCATTCTGCTCGTGGGAGTGAAGACAGCCTGCAGCCAGAGGAGCTGCAGGCTATAGATCATAGATCACCACCGGACCACCAGGTCTGGCAGTGCCCCCCTTCCTTCCCCAAAGGTAAGAAGAAGGGTGGGTGGACATAAAGATTTTATTAGTGGATATTTATTATTATTAAAAAAAAATGTAAAACAACAAAAAACGGGCGATTTTCCGAATCCAAAGTTTGTCCCTCTTCCAGCAGCAGCCGCCCATCTACCAGTTGCTCTCTCCCAGGTCCTCCATGCTCCCTGAGCGCTCCGGTCCCTGGTTTGCCCTCACTTCCGCTTCTCTGCTGCCTACACCACTGTACCAGGCTTAGGGAAAGGTGCATGCAGGACTTTCTGACCCTCATACCACCATGCAGGGAAGGATTAACATAGGGGCTGATGGAGCTGCAGCTCCAGGCCCATGCCTGTGGCATAGGCCCATTCATTAAAAATATATATATATTTTTTTTTTATCTTTTTTTTTTTTTTACTACTCTTCTCATGGTCTTGCTTAAGTATGGAAACTTAGGAGGGATGTAGGGGAACAAAACTAGTGTGGACTGGCTGACAAGGATGACAATGAAATTAGTTAAGGTAAAGCTGATTTTGCACACTATGTGAATGCTCTTGCTGCTCCAGTCTCTCTAACACAATTGCATGTTCCCTTACTTTGACATTCACTACATACACATTTTCTCTGTCCCAGACTGTATATGAGGAGCTTCTGTCTCCTAGTAAGAAGGTTAGGAGAGGAGTGAACCAGCAAGTCCTTAGAAAGCGTAGAGCTATCGCATCATTAGAAGCATTTATGACAAACTCAGGGTGCTGTCTGCACAGTATGTAATTGGTTGGTCAGGCTGACCATCTAATTCTTCGTACAGACACGCCCTCTTTTGGGGCATGTTTGTCCCTTTGGGCGGTTCTGGTTATGTGATTCACATCGGTGGCCCACACTTTTATCCCGCCCACTGAAATCTTGCTTCAGCGGACACTGCTGTTAGGGGGCATGGATTTACTTGAATGAGGAAAGCGGTTCTAATCCAGCCCTGCCACCATCCATGAAATATTCTCAGGGCTCCTGCTTGCCCTCAACTCTTACACCCTGGTGAAGGTCGGTCATCATCTCTCCAGTGACATGAACCATTGGTGGCCAGGTGAGCCTGCAGCATCGTCACCATTGCTTCCCTGGATACTGCAGCAATTCCATTACTATGTCTGGCCCGTACAGCAGACTAGCAAAAGGAACAAGCCTCACAAAAGTTTGATATTATATTATTAACTTTTTTGTATTATTTTTTTTTTTTAGAGATGGCAACAGGGTCAGACTGAAAGAGCACAGATCCCTACTCATTCTTCACTACTGGTAAGTTCCCTCTCATCATTCCCTTTTTTATTTAGTCCCTGACTTGCAAAATTGTATCCCTAAATATCCAACCCCTTAATATGGGCAGCAGTCATGCCTACCCTTCGTTGTTAGGAAATCTCCTGTGAACTTCAGCCAATCTGTGAACCAATTCAGTCTCCACAACAAGAGCTCAAAGCAGCCCAGTGCAGGGAGGTGAAAAGAAGCCTTGCAACTGTTCATGTTATTAGGTCATGCCTTATTCTAAATAAACTAAATGGGTACTGCCACTTGTAAATTATTATGTTTTTTTTTTCATTTGTAATGGTGTCTGTGTATCCCAAAGTGTGGATATAAGTTTTTTTTTGTTTTTGTTTTTTTATTATAATGGAACGTTTTATTATTTGTATACAGTGTATGAATAATAAAAAGTGCTACTTTAACAACAACAAAAACACAGTAGCAAGTCACCCACTTTTTCACATCGCTTCGTCTTTTTTCCTTTGCGGCAACGCTGGGAGGAAGTGATCATTGAATTTAGTAGTTTTAAGTTATATTCTAATTTTATTTAAAAAAATATTTTTGGGGGGGTTGGATTGCAAGTTACTGGTCTTGTCTATGGTGCAAAATAGCACCCACCCTTGTAACCTTAATCAAGTTGGTATCAAGTGAATAGGAACAGTAACTATCAAGCTGAAGCAGTTATATGGCCAGGATACATCTGGTAAAATGGACACTTTTTAAAACAGGTTTAATCCCTTAAGGAAGAAAGCAATTGTACAAGTTCTAATCAAAACAAAACCTGGAATTTGAGCTATAGGTCTGTTCAATGATAATTTACCTCTATCATATTAAGTGCATTCACACCTATTATATATCATTTTGTTCAGAAGATATAGGGCTTTCATTTCACATGAAATATTTGTACATAAATTATAATTTAATATGAATAAAACCTTAAAAAAAAGTGTGAAAACATGGCATTTTAAATGTGAGTGTCATAATACTGTTAGCTTTTACTGCAATAAAACACACATATGTGTTCAGCGATGTCTCACGAATATAACAATACCCCTCATGTACAGGTTTTATAGGGTATTGGAAAGTTAAACTATAGGGCTTGCCCCCTTTCTGGTTTTAGACATTGAACTTTTCCATATTGTTTTTTTGGGGTCTATGTTGCATTTGAGACCATATGGAAGGCCAGGAATGAAAATTACCCGCATTATGGCATATCATTTGCAAAAGTAGATAACGCAGGGTATTCATAATGGGGTATGTCCAGATTTTCTTTAGTAGCTACTTGTTTTTTTGCATTTTTCCCAAATAAACTGCCCTTTCACCCATGATATCATCTGTATTATACATTTTACTGCTCTAAAATACTCATATTCGTATAGAGTAATGTCTCATGAATACAACAGTATTCACATGTACAGGTTTTATGATTTGGAAAGTTACAGTGTCAAATATAAGAGTTGCCTATATCCGTTTCTGCTAATTTTGTCAAATTTGCCAGGCTGGTTATGTTGCCTTTGAGACTGTATGGCAGGACAGGAATGGAAATTAACCCCACCATGGCATACCACTTGAAAAAGTAGACAACCCAGGGTATTCAAAATGGGATATATATATATATATATATATATATATATATACACACACACACACAGTGATGCCATTTGGTCTACGCAATGCTCTGACCGTCTTCCAAAATCTCATAAACGACGAGTATCCACGGGGCAGAGCTTGCAAGCAGCATGTTCACATGCCATTATTGATATCCAACAAAATCTCCAATTACCTTTTTACCCTGAGCCAATCCACCTGGCCGAACCGATAATCAGATTCTCCAAATGGGGCTGCATCGCTAGATGCCTTTCTTCCTACCAATGAAACAGCCGAGGCTGCATCACAAGGTCAAGGCCTACTTCCCGCCAGCAATCCGCAGCCGGGAAACAATTCTTGGCGGTCCCGCTGAGGAAACATCAATCATCTCACCCATCCAACTAGAACTTATGCCGACTACGGGCCACCGCTCTCAGAAGCCGAACACTACGGCTGAGGACAGAGATATCGGGCCATGCTCCAATGGCCCGCGCAACCCAGACTGGCTCCCACAGGTGACCCGCACAGCATTGAGCCGCATACCGCACGGGATTGCCGGCACAGGAGGCGCCACCTGTCCCTCGGACTCCCAAGCCCTTCGAGGGCTCAGCTCCCACTACTAAAAGCAACCTAAAGGTCCTGCTGACGGACATCCAAAAGGTCTAGGTGGTTGGGGGCAGAGCTTGCAAGCACACTGAACCAGACACCATTTCTAATTGCTCCTGAACAAAACCCGATGATCCACACAATATCCCTGATCCTGTCATCCATCCAGCCCTCTAACCTACCACATCGGAACCGGCAAGAAAAGCTGCACCTTTTTTCCAAGCCAAAAAGCTGCCCAAATGGAAACGTAAATCTGGGGCATACTTCACACCCTCGATCCTGGGCCTTGAGCAGTTCCTGCGTGGACACCCACTGGCGGCAGCAGACCTTCCTCCCACAGCCTGACCGCACAACTTACATGCCGGCTTTGAGGTGTCGATCCCAAAAACCTCTGGCTGAGGGGAGAGACATCGGGTCGCTGCTGCAGAGACTCGCACCGCCCAAAACAGTACATGCACCTGAGGAAGACTGGCAGGCAGCCGGCCGTGCTTCCAGTACGGAACAAACACACGGGCACCGCAGCAAACATCACCCGAGGCACTAGATGAGTCGGCTCCTACTAAACAGGAAAGATCTCAAACTCCTACTAGCAGAAATACACAAGCTCCTAGCAGCTGACTCAGCGGGCCGTCAATGACAGGGTGCAAGCCACGGCAATACGCCTCTACAGTTTGAGGACTCGTCCCTCACCATCTATCAAGAACTGTGGAGATCCACGCCACTCTGGCGCAAGTCCTACGGTCCAGTCACCTCGCAACTATGCAACGCAGGAATAGCCTACTGATGGAGAGCAGGTGGCTCACTAGAAGTTACACATGCAGGGTCTACTCAAGTCCTATCCTCAGTGGAGGACGCTCCAACCTTCCTGAGAACTCTTGGACTGTCCAACCTCAAAACAGCAATACAAGCAACAGTCTCCAGAGAGAACCGGGACACCACCACTACTACCCCTCCTGCCCTTAGAACAGGAGGAACGCAGCCTTCAGTGCCATGAACATGGGTGAAAACAGACTACACCAAGTTTAATTTCTGTTACTCACAAAGTTTGCTTATGTTTATATGTTATTGCATGTGACCCCATCTCTGACCATCTTCACCATACACTAGCAAATAACTTACCTATAGCAAGGCCCTAGGGCCCTACACTGCTTGACAGCCTTTATACAAGGCATTTTAATCACCCCGCTAACTCCCCCGCAGCCCCCTTGGTTAAGGGTATCCACTCCCAAGGCACAGGCCCCTAAGGGGTAAACCCACGCTTACCACCGGTTAAAACTCCAACCCGCCATACACATGTTACTCACCTCTTACACATCCCGCACACTCACGAAGACTTACATCCAATCTTAGCTGCACTCTAAATGCTACATAAGTCTTTGACAGAGCTAAACAATAGCTCATCTCTACATGTAACCCAGAAGCCGGAGCACACTCCACACGAACCCCGTTCGCCTAGCATCAGCCCTATTGATGACACCAGCCTGACACACAGAAGTCTCTACCTTTTAATTGCACAGTCTTATCAACCACACAATTCTATGGTCAGACTACATGCCTTCACTTACCACAATACAATTTATGCTTAGCTAGTCTTATTAATGTAGGAAGACGTGTATTTCTAACCTGTTTCTTGTTATTGATTTTTTTTAAATGGTGCAATATCTCTGTATCAAGACAACACTCTACCTTGTATACAATATTAATGCTTGTTAACCTTGACATGGCACTGTGTACAAGAGTGAACCCAATTGCACTACAAAAATAAAGAATAAAAGAAAGGTATGGGCAGCTGACTTGGCGCTCATTAAAACTGAAATCAAGGCAGTCACAGACCATGTAAGAGCTTCTGAGGAAGACATAACAGAAGTGAGGAGTGACATCTCTGCCATGAAAGCCTCCATATAGCAACTTCACAACCGTCACTCCAAATGACAACAATGGAGGACCGACAGAGCAGGAACGATGCTAAAATATGAGGCATCCCAACTACAATCTCCACAGAAGAGCTACCACACTATATCCAGAGACTACTAGCAACAATTCTACCTCACCCTGTAGCCAAACGGGTGTCCATCAGCGGAGTCTACCGGGTTGCAGGACCAACGAAAATACCAACTAACCTGATCAGGGATGGTATCGTCTGCTGTTTGACCTTCCGGGATAAAAGCCAGATAATGTTTGCCTTGAGAGGCAAAACGTCACTGACCTTCGAAGGTGCATTTCTGTCTTTCTTCCAGGACCTCATCTGAGCTACACTCCTATGACACAAAACCCTGGGACCAGCTACATCTTAACTATGAGCAGTGGGGATAGCATACAAGTGGGAACCACCTGGAACTTTAATAGCCTTGCACGAGGGAGTCACTCACACACTTACCTCAATGGCAGAGGCATCCAAATTCTTCACCGCACTGGGACTAGCTGACCAAGCCAAAATCCCGACTGCAGCAGCCCACGCGGAAACCTGGGACCCTGCCACAGTAATCCCATTTGTCCCGAGAACCGGACAGTTACCTGACTCCATTGGGAGATGGCACTGCTCAAGAACTGTCTCACACATAACGTTCTGTGAATGTGTACCTGTTCTGTATACGTCCTGTTCTGTTTTTTTTCTCTCTTTACTCTTTTACTTATTTTGTCTTTAAGTTCGTTCCTACTATTATTTCTCATCAGTGACTGGCTAATAGAATAGACATGTGACATAAAGACGCAAGTCCACACGGCGGCCAACTAGCGACTGATGGACTATCCTTTTTCTCACCTCTCCCGCCCCCCTGCGGCCCCCTTGGTTAGGGGTACACTTTAACACCATAGAGGCAACACTCTCTCACACCAAGCGACATCATTATAACACTACATACACAATGTCAGATACAAACCTCTACATGCCACTCTAAACCCAAAATACCGGGGTTACTTACCTAAACATCTATACTAAACTATATGGTACACATCTCTTAGTCTCTGCTGTTGGACAAGCACGCATACGGTCTTCTTTTGAAAGTAGACGCATCAGACTCTGGTGTAGTGGTGATACTTTCACAAAGAAAGGCTCCAGACCAACCTCTTCATCCATGTGGTTTATTTTCTAAAAAGTTGTCCAATACAGAAAGGAATTGCGAGAAAGGAGAGATTTGTTAGCCATTGTTCTAGCCTTAACCCCTTAAGGACACATGACATGTGTGGCATGTCATGATTCCCTTTTATTCCAGAAGTTTGGTCCTTAAGGGGTTAAAGGAATGGCGTCATCTACTTGAGGTTTCACTCACTCCGATCATTATCCTTACCGATCACAATAATCTGTCATATATAGGGGAAAGCAAGAGATTGACTGCCAGACAGGCCCGTTGGTCTTTATTCTTTTCACGTTTTAACTTCATACTAACTTATAGACCAAGTACAAAAATACCAAGGCTGATGCATTGTCACGCCAATTTGAACCTGTGCTACCCATTGAAATTGAGGTGTCTCCTATAATTCCTAAGGAAAAAATAATAGCAGCTACCCAGTTCCGAGGGAATTCGGAGTTATTGAACACTCTAAGAGAGAAACAAAATGATGCACCAAGTCAAACCCCTCTTTGTCTTCTTTGTTTCTCTTGATCTAAGGAAGAGCGTTTTATCATTATGTAAAGATAATAAAACTGCTGGCCATCCTGGAATAAAGACTTTCTCTCTTCTTTCTTCCCAATTCTGGTGTCCTTCCTTAACCCAAGATATCAACGAATACGTACAGGCTTGTAATGTATGTGCCAATCTAAGACTCCTCACGCTTTACCATGCGGTTTACTTCAACCATTATAAATACCCAAGAAACTATAGTACAGGGATAGGCAACCTTCGGTACTACAGATGTTGAGGACTACATCCCCCATAATGCTCTTACACCCATAATGCTGGCAAAGCATCATGGGAGGTGTAGTCCAAAACATCTGGAGTGCCAAAGGTTGCCTATGCCTGGTCTAGTATTTGTATTTATTTTTATAGTAGACCTACCTATTTTAAATTGTCACAATGTCATTCTTAGCATAATAGGCAGATTTTCCAAAATGGCATATTTTGTTCCTTTCCATAAAATTACCATCTTCAGTAGAATTGGCAGATATATTTGCTAGAGAGGTATTTAGACTACATGGATTACCACAAGAAATAGTATCAGACTGTAATACTTCAACTGCAGAATTTTCTAATTGCAGTAACTATTAGTTTCACCTCCTGTTATACTGATGTGGGGAGAGTTACTGTAGCTTTAAATACTTAAGCAGGATGTTAATTGTGAGTAAAGAATAAGCCAATGATAATCTGCATAAGCAAGTTAGTTCCAAATTAGGAATTAATGCAGAAAAATATGCAGAGTAAGTTTTTAGTTTAATTAAGATGGAATAATTGCAAGCAAGATTATTAATGAGGAAAGACAGAATTGCTGCTAGGAATAATTTGATTATTGGAGGAAGAATTTATCCTTAAAAGCAGTTCCTTATGTATTAGAGAGAACAACTTGAGAGAATGCCACAGTAATGAACTTTCAGATACAGTCTATTATTAGTAACAGAGGAAGTTTGATTGTAGGGACAATTACTTAACTTAAGAGGCCGTTCTGGAACTGTAGGGGTTAATTACATCCAATGGAAGTGGAGAAGGTAGAAGTCCGTTTTAACAAGCCGAGATCTGGGAGTGGAGAAGGTGGAAGTCCGTTTAGCAAGCCGAGGTCTGAGAGTGGAGAAGGTAGAAGTCCGTTTTAACAAGCCGAGATCTGGGAGTGGAGAAGGTGGAAGTCCGTTTAGCAAGCCGAGGTCTGAGAGTGGAGAAGGTAGTAGTCGTCCCAGAACGCTACCCGATACAGGCAGGATCAAGGTAGAGCAGCTGATAAATTGCAGACACTTGTGCAATAATCCAGCCCTTTGAATCTGGCGCGGTCTTCCTAAGTAGCGTGGAAGGACCGCGTCAGAAAAAAGGGGCGGGGCTAAGCTCAGTGAACCCGGAAGTGGGTTCCTGCGGTGACATGTATGTCAGGCTATACCTGACAGTACCCCCTTCTCATGGGGCATCCTCTGGGTGCACTTTATTTCGGTTTGGAGGGATAGCGTTTGTGGAATTCAGCAACTAACCTCCTTGCATGTACATTAGATGAATCTTCCCAAGTGTCTTCATCAACTCCATAACCTTTCCATCTAATAAGGTATTGTAAGGAGCCACGGTGGACACGTGAATCTAAAATTTAATGTATTTCATATTCCTCTTCACCGTGGACAATGACAGGTTCAGGAGTTGTCATTACATCTCTATTGAAAGGGTCAGGGATGTGTGGTTTAAGCAAAGAGACATGGAATACTGGATGAAGTTTAAAATTAGGAGGGAGTTTTAGTTTAACAACGTTATCATTAATGACTAATTACTTGAAAAGGACCAAGAAAAAGAGAGCTCAATTTCTTTGAAGGGCGATTTGTGGTAATATTCCTCGAAGAAAGCCATACAAGATCTCCTACTTTGTAAGGAGGGGGAATTCTTCTTTTATTGTCAAAAAACTTTTTCTGGTTATTTTGGG